ACGAAGATTAAGAAAAATAAGAGTCAGAAGAGAAGAGTGTAAAGCTAAGAAAGAATGTGCTCTTTTCCTGATTCAGGAAGTGTCTTGGTACATTTAGAAGCTGACAGAATTCCAGTGTGCCTGGGACCCATTAGATGAGGCCAAGAGAGGTAGATTGGAGCCACAAGGCAATAACCCTTGAAAACCATTTTCTGGAATAGAATTATTATCTAAGGTCAACGGAAAGGAATTAAAGGGTTTCAGCCAATGATGTGACATAATCACTTCTGTGTTTTTTGAAAGTTCAGTTTGGCTACAATGTAGAACATGAATGGGGGTGAGAGGAGAAAAACTGAATAGGGAGTGACCATCTGTATCCTAACCTAACAAAGAGACAACTTTGACTTGAAATCTGATCATGGAAATGGAGACACCAGAAGAAGATAGATGGCAGAAATACTAAAGGGTGCAATCCACAAGACTTGGTGCTCAACTGTTAAAATCAATGAGGTTGAGGAAGAGGTCATTGTACATTCCTAATGTGCAAGCAGATGAAAATCCCTCTTCCTAAGAATAGAGAAGAGAAATTTTTATGTGGACAAAATCAAAAGGCCAGTTCTACATGTGATAGTTTGACCTTAGTATCGCCATGAGACTTTGATATTTTAAGGTGATTTGATATCAGAATCTGATCAATTTCCAGATCTATGAAACAAGAATTACCCATAACTTTTGAGTATCTGACTTCACTCTAGACCTAATAAATGAGAATCCTCAAGAGAACACAGCCAATTTAATGCTCTGAGGTTACAAGCAATGGAAAAATTCAGTCATCTAGTATAATTAAAGTAGTTAAACTTTAAACTCCTTTACAACTTTGAGTGCCTAAAATGTTATAAGTGTAAAGATTGTCAGAACAAGCATTAGCTCAATTATCACTTTCTAGGAGTGAATTTTCCATATAGTCCATGAGACACCTTTACAGAGAGAAAGCCATATGTGGATCCTTCTACTTACATTGCCGTGTTTGTATCATATAATTCTGCCAACTTGCTCATAAACTAATTGATCCAGAAACTAGGCCCTGGGTAAAGGCAACAACCTAGTAGTTCCAGTTGTCTATCCAGCCTAACTGATGCACAAATATGGGTGAAAATTAATTTGCCAAATCACATTTTCTCTTTGACCAGAAGGAAGTGGGGAGAAATTAAAAATAAAAAATAGAAGCCATGGGGACACACAAGTCGAGGAGAATCAGGCAGAGAGCAAAGCAAAGAGAAACAGCAGCAGAGTCGCCAGTATGACCATCAGTAGAACGAGTGTAAGTAATACTTGTTTCTGAGTGGGTGACAACGTGACTGGATTCCACCAAATCATTAAAGTGCAATTCTTCAAAGATTTTTTGAATACCTACTGTGCGTCAGTTGCTGGAGCTACTCAAACAATGCCTTGTTTTGGACACCTTGGTCTAGGTACACCATGGTGAGGATTATGCAACAAATAAGAAGATGGATAATGCTGATGAGAAAGACCAGTTGCTGTGTAAGATAACTGGTTTAAGAAAGGAAGATTTCATTGAGGAGATAACATTCATTGAGCCACCTATGAGAGCACAAAGGAAAGTGTATTTCAAGCACAGAACATAGAAAACACAAACTCTACAAACTGGAAGTGTGTTTCTGATGTTTTAAAATATTGGACATGTCCATGAGGTTGGATCTCAATGAACAACAGGCAGTATGAAAGGAGATCAGATTCAGGGCTTTCAGGAGCTTGCAAATTATGATTGAATTTTCAACTTCATTCTGAATATCATTGAGACTTTTGATCAGGGTGATGCCATGATCATACTGGAGGCTTAGAGGAATTACTGTCACTTCTTTTCTTTTTTTTTTTTTTAAACTTTTATTTAATGCATATAAATTTCCAAAGTACGACTTATGGATTACAATGGCTTCCCCCCCATACCGTCCCTCCCACCCACAACCCTCCCCTTTCCCACTCCCTCTCCCCTTCCATTCACATCAAGATTCATTTTTGATTATCTTAATATACAGAAGATCAGCTTAGTATACATCAAGTATGGATTTCAACAGTTTGCTCCCACACAGAAACATAAAGTGAAAAATAATAGATGATTTTTTTTAAATGATGATGAAATCAGAGCAGACCTATTGTCATGTTTAATCCCAGTGAGAGTCAAGTTGGGAATTGATAATTTCTTTTTTTTTTTTTTTACAGAGGATCAGTTTAGTATGCATTAAGTAAGGATTTCAACAGTTTGCACCCCCATAGAAACACAAAGTGAAATATATTGTTTGAGTACTCGTTATAGCATTAAATCTCAATGTACAGCACATTAAGGATAGAGATCCTACATGAGGAGTAAGTGCACAGTGACTCCTGTTGTTGACTTTACCAATTGACACTCCTGTCTATGGTGTCACTTCTGAGTAGTGATCGCATTGTAGAGGTGCATGAGAGAAAGCAGTGAGACCAGGAAAAGGCTACTTCTAGTCCAGGCTAGAAAGGGCAGTGGGTTGAACAAGACAAAACGCAATTGAAGAGATGGAAGGTGGCCAGATGAGGAATGCAACCTGAAATTACAGCTCTCAATAGTAGATCATGGATTGAATGGGAGAGGAGTCAAAGATTATACAAGATGTTTGTTCTCAACAGACAAATAATTATTGAATTGGAAAAAATCAGCAAAAGAGCAAGTGAGTTTGATTTTGGCCATATTAAAATTGAGAAGTCCAAGGACATTCAAGTGAAGAAATTTGGTTCGTAGGTGGAAAGGGGAGCCTGAAGTTCAGGATGTATATTAGGACTGGCGTTATGAATTTGGGAGATACCAGTATATCAGTCCTGGTAGTATGCCTGTTAAAAAGTTTTCCATTGATCCATTTCTCTCCATTTTGTGAAATCCTCCCCTCATCACAAGACATAATCAGAAACACCATAACGGTTGAAAAAGGGAAGAATGAATGGATTTAGGAGATAGGCTATTTCTGTATATCAATTCATATGAAATAGCATAAGTAGGATGCAGTATCTGCCCTGCGACATTGACCCCTGTATCCAGTAACTCCTTACAATCTACACAGACACAAAAAGGAAGGAGTTCTCCTGGTTTGTTTATTTTAATTAACCAGTTGGCCAATGGGTTTTTCATGAAGCCTGGTTGACCTTTTTGTCAAAAAATTTTTTTTCAGAACTTTAATCACATCTGCTGATTCCGGCTAACATTTTTACTCTTAACAAGTATATTTTCCACTGCACTGTGAAGAATTCTGCATTTCAGAGCAATTGGATTACTCTGTTTAGCATTTCAATAACATTTCCTTTGTTCAATTCATCTTTCTTGTGATTGAAACTTCTTAATGTGCTCACAATGCACCATATGTTATCGTTGCTTAATTTTGTCTTGAAATATTCATTGCTAGCTCTTATGGAAAGATAAGCTGAATAAAACATGTTGTTTTAGCTTTCAGTTTTATCATCAGCGGCTTTAGCAAGTTATTTACTGGTTATAAACAAGGACCAATGCAACTTTTCATATCACTCTGGTATCCTCTTGACAGAATCACTGTACTTTCTCAAGTCTTTAACATGACCAGAAATACACGTCATTGAATCACCATCTTAGGAGAACTGCCAGTGTAAGCTTATATGAAGAATGTACAATAGAATCAACTTCCTTAACTCATAAGAAGGGGATCTGATATTCTTATGATATTTGAGAGCTAAATATAATGAATGTCATGGGTCCTCAGGGCTTTCAGTTTAAGATTTTCCTTTAAAAATAATGGTATTATCCTCTGAGGATGTGAGAACAGCATTACTTTATTCAGCTTAAGCTAATCTAAAATAGAACAGAGGAAATAAATAAATGATGAAACATATCTTTCATTCTTGCCTCTTCATGCCAAAACTGATAATGCCTTCAAAGAACAAAATCATTTCCAACGAGGAAAATATCTTAAAATGATTGCACTTATGTCCAGAGAGGGATGTCTAACAGGTTCAACAATTACCAAAGAAAAAAACAACAATGCTAAAGATTGTATTATTTATTGCAGTCTTACAAACAAGCAAACATTGTGTTTTATGGCTGCACAGGAAGGAAGTTTACTGCAAGCAGCTATTAATGTGTCCATTTATATCCCACCTCCCTGAAAAAGCCCCAAATCTAGAGGGAATACAGAGTGGAAAATTTCACTCCCAATTTAGACATCTCTCTGAACTCCAGAGGAAACTACTCAGCTGGCCTCTCATGCAGTTGAAACTGAGCTGGGTGACTGGATGATGAACCCTGGGGCCAGCAGCCCAAGTGCCAGACTGGAACATGAGCTACTGCATTGAACAGACTCTGCCTCGTGTCAGGAGCATTTTTGTGTGAGGAATCAAAGAAGCCGTCCCTGGAAGCAGTGTTGGTCAAAATACTGATACATTTAGAAGTTATTTCAGCAGTTCCCCTTGGGAGGAAAATTCTGGAAAAGTGAGAGTCTGACTAACACTCTTAGTTGCTGTTGCAACAGCTGTTACATGTACAGCAAATAACTGTTTGGGCTCCTTAGAGCTGCTCCCAACACATGACACTGCTGCAACACTTTATATGAAGTCTCTCCAAAATTCAAGTTACTCTGCTTTGCTTACACCAGGAAAAACGAATGACAATTAACTGCCAACACTGGGGAAGAGTAATCGGGACTTCTGGAAAAAATCTTTCCAAAGAAAATATGTGAGTAAGGGTAAAAAAAAAAAAAAAGCAAACAACTTTGTCATTATTTTGTAAATGCTCAATTTCCATGCTGACATTCTGAGATCCCTAATTATTACTTCTTCAACTGCCTGTTTTACTTTTGACAAAATTAACTTTAACTTTTAAATAAAGTATGTAAGTGAGCATGACACTACAGCAGTGTAGAGTTGAGCCTAGATCAAGCTGTGGTCAAACACAAGGCAGCCTATGAGGCATGGCTCACCACTCATAACCCAAAACAGTACCCGAACAGTACCTTTCATGGCAGGTGGTGTGTACACGCTCTGCTTCCTTTGTTTAGGGGATGCATTCTGTGACTGTGGAAAGAGAAGGGAAAAAAGTAAAAGGCTTACATTTTGATAAAAATATAATGTCAACAGAACTCTGAGCAGGATACATATTGCCATGTTTCAAAGAGCTTTCTGATTCCACCCAGCCCCCATTGTAACATGAAACCCTAATCAATGAGAATTTATGTACAAGTCCATTGATATCTCAGATTTAAGTAATAAAAACTACTTTATGTATGAGTTTAGTTTTCAAAACATTCTCACTTACTCTCTCACCAAATGTTCCAAAAAGTTTTGTGAGATACTGTTTGCTATTTTATCCGTTCTGTATTTTCTTCTTTAATTATTGCTTTAAGCCCAATTCTGAAATTGTGGGAATGGATTATAGCTGCCACTTGGTCAGTATTTGTTCCATTTCTTGATGCAAGTCTATGCACTTCTTTATATTTCTGTGCATAATATAATGTCAGCTCCCGGCCGGCGCCGCGGCTCACTAGGCTAATCCTCCGCCTTGCGGCGCTGGCACACGGGGTTCTAGTCCCAGTTGGGGCGCCGGATTCTGTCCCGGTTGCCCCTCTTCCAGGCCAGCTCTCTGCTGTGGCCAGGGAGTGCAGTGGAGGATGGCCCAGGTGCTTGGGCCCTGCACTCCATGGGAGACCAGGAAAAGCACCTGGCTCCTGGCTCCTGCCATCGGATCAGCACGGTGCGCCAGCCGCAGCGCGCCTGCCGCGGCGGCCATTGGAGGGTGAACCAACGGCAAAGGAAGACCTTTCTCTCTGTCTCTCTCTCTCACTGTCCACTCTGCCTGTCAAAAAATAAAAAAGAAATAAATGTCAGCTCCCTTTGCTTTCTCTAGTTCCTGTTTTCTATCTGGACTCCTAAATGTGTATGCCAAAGAGATAGAAAGTGACATCTTTCAGACTAGTTTCTAGGTTTAAATCTAAATATACTTATCTTTTTAAAACTTTTTAATGTATGTATGTATGTATGTATTTCAAAAGCAGAGTGACAGTAACAGAGAGATCGTCTATCCACTTGTTCACTCCCCAAACACCCACAACAGCTGCAGATGGGACAGGTTGAAGCCAGGAGCCAGGAACTCAAGCCAGGTCTTTCACATAGGTGGAAGAGACTCAATCAAATGAGCCATCACCTGCTGCCTCCCTGGGTGTGCAATAATAGAAATCTGGAATTACAAGTAGAGCTGATACTCGAACATGGGATGGGTGCATCCCAAACAGCATGTTAACCACTGTGTCAAAGGCCCACTCCCGAAGACATTTCTTGGTGGATCTCCTGGATCTTGTCATCCAGGCTTTAGAGGACTTCAGCCTCCCCAGACTTGGACTTGGGGTCCACTTTCACTCACACCAGAAGACCCATTAAAAGATGTTTGCCCCTATGCCCACCATCTCCTTGCTTCACGATTCCAACATTGCCTAGCCCTAGATTGTAGTTCTCACACACAATCCTTCACTAAATGGAAATTGTCACTATCATACCTTGCCATTGTGTGTTATTAGAATTTCTGCAAGGGAAAGCATTTACAGGTAGAGAATCAAGGTAACCAAGGGGCATAGCTTTTAATGTCACCGTTTTATTGTTTCTTCAGTCAGAAAAAGAAGCATAAGTAAATAATTTTCACCATAGTTATATTCATATTGCATTTTATTGCATCAAATTAAGATAGTTTAATTGATTTGAATACATAAACAAAAATTATGTAAAATATAAGCAAACTTACTTCTCCTTGAGTGTTAGTCGCTCTCTTGTCATCTATTTCTGCAACAAAAGGTATAATTTATTAGAATTTTAATTTCTTCATTGAAATACACATATTAACACTTTCAGCAACACATATCAAAATGGTTTAATAACTCCATTTCTTACATAGCAACTATGGCTCAGAGCTGCAAAGGGGAGATCAATAATGGTAATGATTTCATTCTGAGACAACCTTTTTCTCAAGGTGTAAAAAATAATAATAATTTTAAGAAGCATTCCTGTTAACAGCCCAGATATTACCTACCTTCCAGGAATTCAGAAAGGGGACCTAGGAAATGACTCTTGGGACAACCATTGGTGACATCAACCTCACAACTTGAAAACATCAGCGACATGCTTTTCTCCTTGGTTTTGCTGCTGCTGCCACTGTGGATTCACTGTAGCCTCTGGAAAATTCCCTCTGAGTGTTGTCACTAACCAGAAGAAATTTCCTTTCCCACCCAGCCTAAGTCACACAACTCTAAGGAAGCTGGCACACTTTCTTTCATATCCTCCTCAAAAGAACCAATTAGTCAATTAAGTATTTCTTAGGACAATGCTGAAGCAACCTATACAGTCTGTGGACAAAACAGTTGTGAGGAAGGGTGGGTTAGAGGAAGAAGAGCTCACATCGGTCCCTTCCACAGAGGGAGGACATTCTGGGTGGGGCTTTTTCCTACCGCTTCACCCACATTGCATGGATTCTAACTCTGAGCTTCTTGACCCAGGCATCTTTCTCTGACCCTTTATGCTAGTTCTAAGGCTAAAGAGCTAATACATTGGGACAAAAATTGAATGAGGACTTCATCAATGAATAGCTACTTGAAGATAATGACATAGATATATAGAGATTGAAATGAAAACATACACTATATAAGTGAAAAATATTTCAAAATTACATGTGTGGCATTTTTATTTTGTGAATAATAACTACATATAGCTAGAGAGATGCATATATATGCATAGGTTACCAATATGTTAACTGTAGTTATCTCTGGGTCACTGAATAACACTTCATGTTTTGTACCTATCTATATACTGTTTGTTCTTATTTTGCAATAAAGAGAAGAATGTATATAAGCTTGTGGATAGACACACATTTATATGTATATGCATGTGTGTGTGTGTGTGTGTGTGTGTATAAAATGCAGAAAAAATTCTATATAAATCCAACCATGGATGAAGTTGATATTTCATATAGTAAAAGACCAAATTGTCAAACAGCTAGAAGGAAACTATATAATTATTGTTTATTCTAATATGAAATATTAGTTATGGAACCTTAAAGAGGTCATAGAAAAACATATAATAAATTTAACTACTTTATGTAATAGAAAAGAGACAGGAAACTTTTGGTTTAGGATAGTAATTACAATATACTTATGAAATCACTGAAGGTAGCGGGCAGCTGTAAATAAATCAAATTGAATAGTTCTATCAATGAAAAATCATTAGTCACAAATATTTCATCAAATATGTAATAGCACATATGTTGTGATCCATTGGATTATTAAATATCAATGAGGTTCCTTTTTTGGTAAATAAATAAAATATCTGTATCATGAAAAAGGATTGAGAAAATTCAATTCTGTATTCTTGAAATTGAAAAGTGAAAGTTAAATGACTCAAGACAAAGTGATTCACAAAAATATACAAAGCAGTAACAGAAAAGGTGACAATTTTCTTAAGATCCTATGATTTTGAACACATTTATATTTTCCTTAATAGATTGCTACTAAGTTGTGGAGGGAGCTTACTCTTCTCTGTCCCCCAAGCACTTCACATACACACACATACACACACACATACACACACACACATTACACTACATTACATTTTTGGAGGGCACAAACACACTTGGACAGCAGAAACCCAGTATTTTCTATAGGTTATACCAAATAATCTGTGACAAAAAAGACCCCCCCCCAAAAAAAACATTTGCAAACATCATCTGTACTTTTCAAAAGAAAAAAAAAAACACAACAACAACAACAACAAAACAGATAATGATAGTGTCTGCATGTTCTCTTCAGGATCTCAAATTATGGCCCATGGCCAGCCAGAGTAGCATTCAGAAATACTATAACCTCATGGATTCTTATAGCAGATGCCCATCTAGAAATTGTTCAGCTTACTCACTAAAACAGAAAAAATACTATTTTGGAGCAGCAAAGTAATGCTAACTGATGAAAAGTTTGTTAGCTGAGTATTCATGATCAAAACCAGCAAATTTTCTGTTTACCTGCCCCAGATTTATCTTATCTATATTTTTCCTCTCTGAAAGTCCATTTGATTTGAGCAAATGAATTCCTTAATTTAGGAGAAAAAAATGTACAAGTCATTACATTGAAGGAATTTGAGTATGAAGATAGGTATAAAATGTTCTAGTATATTCTAAGCATTTGCTAGAATAGTACCTTCCTAATCTAATCTTTACTAGAAGCCCCAAGTTCAAAGCAGAGCCTTTTTAAAATGTATCCCCTCTTTGCAATTTTTTCTGTAATTCTTTAATTTCTTTATTGCACTTATTTAAAGGTTTACTTAGATCTATTTTACAGTTTTGGCATCCTAACCATTGTAGTATTTGTAGCATATAGTGAATTAAAGCTTTATTAACATCTATCTTTATTCTAGTGGGAAGTATATACCAGAGAGCATGTTGCCTTTTAATTCTTTTCTTTTCTACAAACAGCTCAACATTGCATAAGGCATTAACCCTTTCTTCTACACTAACATTCTGCTTGATTAAAATTCTACAAGGCAATGGACATTTTGGAGGTTATGAGACTAAGTGCTCTTCTATAAAATTAGGAATACAGCAATCATTAGCAGGACCACCAGGAAGCTCCAGCTTGTAGTTCCCATCAAACCTAAAACCACCAAGAGGACTGCAGCTGTCCTTCTCATGCCTTGCTGAGACAGACCTTCTGCTGTGACCTTATCAGCCAGCTGAAGTGGCCTTGGTCTCGTCATCTTGGGGCTGGCGCTGTGGCATAGTAGGCGATGCCTCTGCCCACTACATGTCCTGGCTGCTCCTCTTCTGATCCAGCTCTCTGCCTATGGTCTGGGAAGATGACCCTAGTGCTTGGGCCCCTGCACCTGCATGGGAGACCCAGAAAAAGCTCCTGGCTCCTGACTTCAGACTGTCCCAGCACTGGCCATTGTGGCCTTTTGTGGAGTGAACCAGAGGATGGAAGATGTTTCTCTCTGTCTCTCCCTCTCTCTGTATGTAGCTCTACCTCTCAAATAAATAAATAAAATATTTTCTTAAAAAAAAAAAAAGAGAGAAGTCTGGGGAACTGTCATAGCCAAGAGGAATCTAAGGAGACTTGTTAACTACATGTAATAGGGTATTCTAGATGGGATCCTAGTCCACAAAAGTGGCATCAGATAGAACTAATGAAGTTTGAATTAAATACGGACTTCAATTAGTAAAGATATATCAATATTTGATAATTAATTATCATAATGTAATATTTTAACTAGTGTAATATGTCCATAACAGAGATATTATGTGTAAATAAGAGAATTTCGGGTCTTAGTGTGTTTTTTTTTTAAATTTAAGATTTATTTTGATTTATTTGAAATAAATAGAGTTACACAGAGAGAAAGACAGAGAGAGCAAGAATGAGAGAGATTCCAGATGCTGGTTCATTCCCAAATGGCTGCAATGGCCAGGGATGTGCCAAGCTCAAGCCAGGAGCTAGGACCTTCATCCAGATTTTCTACATGGGTGGCAGAGGCCCAAGCAATTGGGCCATCTTTCCCTGCTTTCCTATGCACATTAGCAGGGAGCTGGATTGGGAGTGGAGTAGCAAGGACTTGAACCATTGCCCATATGGGAAGTCAGTGTCACAGGCTGCAGCTTTACCTGCTATGCCACAATGCAGGTCCCTCAATGTGTTCTATGTCCTTATTTTCCTTTCTTCTTTTTTTTTAAATCCAAAACTCTCTTTTAAAATATTGTCTATTTTTAATTTTTTGAAAATTTATTTGAGAGGCAGAGAGAGAGCTCCAACCAATTGATTCATTCTCCAAATGCCTAGAAGGGCCATGAGTTGGGCTGTGGCTAAAGCCAGAAGCCAGGAATGCAGTCCATACTCCCCAATCCAAGCAAATGAAATACTTAATCTTATTAAAAATGAAAGTAAGTGAAATAGTGAGAAAGAAAGCCATGAAAATATCATTTTAAGAAATGCTATGCATAGCCAATTAAAAACATAGAGGAAAAAGTAGGAATAAACTTAGTAAAAAATAAAAAATTGAGTTGAAATTGTTGAATGCTGATACTAGCAGAGATGTGTTAATAGAAAAATTACATGTCCAGTGATAATAAGAGCCCTTCACTTGGATTTATTTGCTGATTGAAGGGGAGAAGAGATGGAACAAAGTATAATAGAAAATAGTATTCCCAGCATGGTGCTTCTGTGTGATTGTTCTTCATATCCTGAACTTCCTTCCTTCATGCCTGACACTACCATCTTTCAGGATTTTGTGCAAATGGCATCTCCCAACCCTGCCTCCCCAGTTCCAACTGGAAGCCATGGCCCCCTCCCCACCTCTCCCAGCCACACACACACAATAGCACCTGTATCTGTGTCTCAGCATGTCTAATAGTGCTAATAGTATTGTAATGTGATCATCAGCATCTTACCTCCCCAGACGACCTGAAAGGAATCGTATTAGCCTCCATGCCCGATTATCTTACAGATGTAGCACAGTGGCATCCTTGGCACACAATAACAGCTTGTCACATAAATATATCATAATGTGAGTGTTTCATAAAACAAGTCCATCTGTTTGCTGCTTATCTATTGTACAAAATACAATAGTATGGCAAGTACTTGCTCATAGTAGCTGCTAAATACTTTTTTAACAAATAAGTATTTGATTTGAAAACTTTTTAAGGCAGAAATTATGACTTCTATTTTAAAACCACTTTACTAGGCCCAAGACATTGCTAGAGTTCTCAGATTCTAATAAATATTACCTAATTGGTTCAAATGGGAATTATAGAA